TTCAAATCCCGAATTATAAAAATCGAAATTGTACGCTGTCCACTGCACGACACCCTCTTCTCCCGTGCATCTGAAGACGTTGATCGAACCTTCGATCAAATACGTAGGTATTTAGAAAAATATTCTTTATCGACGTCGATCAAGTTCCTCGACGTGGTTCACTTCACCTTAAGTCCATTAAGAAACTCGAAGTCTCGAGCGACGAGGCGTGCTTCCATTTCTTTAAAAATGGAAGATTATAGATCCATAACCAAAAGTATCCTTAAATCTTCTCTCAAATCTGCTGATTGGAAAATACACCTTCCAAGCATTCGCGCTGCTATCTGTAGTTGGGTCATGGTCGCGAACGGGGAGCCTCGTTATCACGCCAGTAGGTTTTCCCGATATCAAACAACACTACTCGATATGATAGGCAACCTAAAAGTAGCACTTTCTATCTAAACATCCGTCTTTCGTAAACAAAAATACCCTCAATATTCTTTCAAATCTGCTGGATGAAAACCACACCGCCCAGCTTTTTCGCTGTTCCTTGAGTTTGCGTCGTTGTCACAGACGAGGTGCCTCGTTATCAGGGGAGGAGGTCCTCCCTCACCGCGCAAGGGAACACGACTTGACGGAAACTTTGGCAATCTGAAATTTGCACTCTCTATGTAAAGTTGCATTTTCCGTAAACAATGACACCCTCTAGTATTCTCTCAAATCTAGTGGATGAAAGCCACCCTGCACTAGCTTTCTCGCTGTTCCCTGAGGTTGAGTCGTCGTCGCGGACGGGGTGCCTCGTTATCAGAGGAGGAGGTCCCGCCCTTATCGCGCGAGGCCACTCGGGGTCTCGGCTCGTCGACTTCGTCCAGATTGGCAGATGGCGAGGCAAGGTTAGGAGCGTGCCGGGCGCGAGTCGTTGGTAAATGAAGTCGGCGTTAGACTCCTCGGTTGCGAGTCTTTGGTGCCGTGCCGGCCGCTAGTTAGGCCCGGCAGGGGCCAGCGGGCGAGAAGGAAAACGGACCGCTAGCACCGTGTACGTGCTCCCTGTGCACATTACGGGGTAATAAGAAAAGTCAGCCGGGGCGCGAGCGCGCCGGCAAATCACGTCGCCTCTTTTGTTGCGCTATGGAAATACTTTTCCGCCGGCGGAGCGACTCGGCTCGGCCGGCGATTCGCGTGCTAGCCGCCGAATTACTCGCCGCGGCCGAGCCGTAAAACGGCGTAGCGGAAGCTCCGGCGCTGCTGAAACAACCGGCGGCGAATGTACCCCCGATTGCATCCGGTAATTCGGAAATTCGGAAAAATATCCCTCGGTTCCGTCGATACCATTAAAGAAATTAAAGGACGGAGATATATTTCCTTGACAAGCCGAAATTTATCGCAAAAGTTTAGGTAACCGGTAACGGAGCGGAAGCAAGATCGAGATTACCTTTCTACAGGACAGTTAAAAGCAATGTTTGGAATCTGCATTCAAAAAAAAAAATCTTCATTGAACCATGAGAAATATTTCTTCGAATAGTACCGACGAAATATTTCGTTACTTCAAAAATTATTATTTGACTCGGATAATATCGAATAAATTGGACGCGACGTTCCTGTCTTGCTCCTCCGTAAAGATCACCGATTTCTAATTAATTTCCTATTTCCTTGACAAACGTAATAAAAAGTAATCAACAAAGACTCGTAATTCCTGCCCGAAGGAGCATAACCACTGTCCCCATTGCCCATTCTTGTTGAATTCACTTTAACCCGACAGGGTAATAAAAATTTCACGTGGTGGAGGAAAGCAGCTCCCGCGGATTCTCTTCGAGGCAAGATGGCCGCCGAGAAGAGAAGCCGCGAAGAGAAGCGACGAAGAGAAGCGGGTCGATTCGATTCCCCTTGACGCGCTATTGCCGGGGAGGTAGGAACAATAATAGAATCTCGTCTCGGACCCGAGGTTGGCCCGCGGAGCGACAGCCCGCGAGGGCAGAGGAGGTCCTCCCGACGCATCTCTCGCCGGTTGATTGATGGACGAGTCGCCATGTTTATAATTAGAGAGCGACGTTTCCGGTGCCCCTCGGCCGCGGAGATCGAACCGAATCTCCCGGATTAATTCGTCGCGCGGCGAAGGAGCCGCGAGCACGTGCGAGCGGACGCGGCAGACTCTCTGGACCGTGAAATCCCGGCCCGAGACAAGTCGAGGCCGTTAATCATCCTCTCCTTAGAAATCCGCCCGGCGGAGATCTAATTAACCGTATAACTCGAACGCTCCGGAGCGATTCATGCCGGATTTTTATTTAGACCGTGATGGGACCAAGTTTCTGCATGGCTTCGACCTCGGGGAAAATAAGGGCCTCGACTTTTCGGAGGAACGAGATAATTAAGGAGGACTACCCGAGATAGAGAGAGTACCGAGAACAGAACTTACCGGTATTAATATCGAGCATTTGTTCTCCTCTAGATACCCACCATAGGCGTTTCCCTTAATTAAAAAACTAGTTTCTTCAATCGGGATAGATCGAGCGAGACCAAGAATAGGCTGTATCGACGTTGTAGTTAAAATACTTAACCAAGGGTTACCGAAGAGTTAATCAACCGTCCTTGAGTGGATACTTAACGCTGGATTTGAAATATAGGTTAGACTTATTTTTGTCCCTACGAACTTCCGTGAAAATTTCTTTTCCCAGTAAATGTTTCTTCCCGCGTCGTTTTAACGACAGTGTCTTCAGGGTTAGTGACACGTACTTCCAATTTTCTGGAAATTCAAGCCTTCGTCCCGGAAGGATGAAAACTTGGGAAATGACTAATTTGTATAAAATCTTTGTCGGTTATCATTGAGCGTAACATAGAATGAGGATAACAAACGACTACTTTACATCTTATATATTTACCATTGTATATCCTTTTCTTGTGGAAATTATCATTAGACGTTAATCGACGCGCGCGTTGGACGACTCGCTTTTCGAGCGTTCCGTCACCCGCGTTCCGGTCGTAACGACATGCGCTCCTCTTGTCGCCCGATGCATCGTTCTTAATGCACTTTACCGATCGTTCCGTTCCGGCGTGGGAACGCGATTCAAGGCGGTCATCCAGCGCCTCCGCCTCACCTGGGACCCGGTGCGAGAACGCTCGTAGAAACCTTTTAGTCGCGCGCGAGTCACCCGCCGCGGAATCCACGTGCACAGGAAACGAAAATGCGGGCGAACGCTCGCACGTGCGTAACGACCGCTACTCCCGATGACGCCTTTTATCGCGTTCGGCCGTTTCCACGCGAAACGTTCGCTGGACGTCCTCGAGACGTCGCGACGATTGCCCAAGAGCCCGAAACCGACTCCTACGAAAATCCGAATGACTTAACACATTCGCGACCGGCAATTTTTTTTCCGTTTCCAATACTGAGTACCGGCGAAAATAATTAAATTCTGAAACTGGTTCCCGCAAACTTGTATCGTGTATCGTTATGGACGTGATTCACGTCAGCGGCAATCAGGAATAGAGTTTAGAATGACGTGAATTCACGTCAGCGGTCGCGAATGTGTTAAGAGGATGTGAAAGTGGCATCCGAAAGCTCAATCGTTCATAAAACTTTTCTACGAACTGGGTGTTTCAAATCGTTTCATACTTTAAAACGTGAATACGGAGACCCTAAGGTAGGTCCTGAAACTCGTGAAACTTCATTTTTTTATAAACTACTTTTAAAATACCTATAAACAAATGTGAAAAGAATTGAAATTTCATGAGTTTCAGGACCTTCCTTATAGTCTCCCTGTTCATGTTGTAAAGTTTCAAACTATTCGGTAAACCGAGTTGGGAGAAAAGTTTTATAAACGAAACCTCTTCGACGCCACTTTCACTCCCCTTAAATCATTAAAATAAGGTTATGGTACTACACAATAAATCGTAAAATTCGATAACCGTTTGCGATTTTAGGTACATCTGTTTTGTTATTATATTTAGAGTGAGGACCCGAAAGCATACGCGACTGACAGAGAGGGTAGATTTAGGTGTCACTGCCAGGCGGCTAATGGCGGACGCTCGCGGTGTCGGTTCGGGCAGAAGAATGGACGGCGTGTGCGCTCGCGTCGGCGCGTGAAAGAACCAACGGGAGCGCACTCGTTAGTCGAGTCGCTCGCACGCGATGCCGTGTAAGAAATTAAGATACGCGTGTAGATATTTAGAGGCGCGTTCGGAGACCCTCCGAGAAGAGTACATAGCGGCCGCGGTGCTCGACTTATCTCGCGGCCACCCTTGTCTTCTATTATTACCTCGTCTTTTCCTTCCCCTGTTTTTTCGAGTGAAAGCCTCGGAGTCCCTCGCCGGAAAAAGTGTCCGATTGGACAGTTTTCGTATCCTTAAGGTGATACGAAACTGGCGTCAAAGACACCTCGTTCGCGAAACATTTCTCCGAACTGGGTGTACCGAATCGTTTAAAACTTTTTCAACGTAAACGTGGAAGCTGGAAAGAAGGTCCTTGATACCCATGAAATTTCAATTTAAACAAAATTCGGTTACAGGTATTTTCAGCAAATTTTTTTTTTCGTAGAATATGAAATTTTGTGGCTTCCTTATTGCCTTCATATTTATGGTGTAAAGTTTTAAACGATTCGGTACAGCTAGTTCTGGAAATAATTTCACGAACGATTGACCTCTTAGATGCCATTTTTACATTACGTTAATACTACCTTACGAAATGGAAGCTCTAAGCTTACGTTACATACATTGCAGGGTCTGCAATAATACGTATCTCTAGAAAGGTTGCAAAAAGAGGAAGGTTGAGTTCTTTCAAACTGTATCTTTCTCGTGAAAATGTACCGTTCTGGTACTTCAGCATTTCAATTGAACGTATATTAATTGGCATCGTCCCCCCTTGCTCGTACGTGGGCATAATTAATAATGGAATACCACGCGAATCAAATTTTGGAGTATGTGACAGGAAATGTCGTTTCACGTAAGGAAACGCGATAGCAAAGTTAATATCTGCTTCTTGCAACCTAGTGCCCTTGTAAGAAACGACGTGGTCAGGTTTTCATACTTACCGCGTTTCTGCATGTAGCTGAAGAGATCGTCCAGGAACTCCCTTCGCTTCGGATCATCGCTGATCTCGTACAACTGCAATCAAGGTAGAATCGACAATTAGGATCCTCGTGGTTCGAGACAGAGGAGTTTGAGAGGGTTAATCGAAGAACGATTATGCAATCGGTGTCTTGGAGAGTCATTGACTGAAGTCGATTGGTAACGAGAGTAGTTTGTAAGTGTTAAGTGCCTTGCAAAATATAAATGATCACTTACAAAAAAAATCTAAACAAATGGCAAAAAATTTGAGGGATGTCGCGCACCCTCTTCGCCCGTTCCTGTTCCTTTGGGAAGGGATTAGTGGAAGACGCGATTTCTTCAGGACACGGTCCCCTAAGAATCCGATTCCTTCAGGACGTGATCCCTCCAGCATGCGACATTAGAACTCGATCTCCGGGAACCATCCCGTCTAACGCGATTCCTTCAATAACCAAACTCTATGAAATGCGATTTCTTCGGAAAGCAATCCTTCCAGAATCATTCTGTTTACTTAAAGGGATCGCGACGCTCCTGGCTAACGCTTGGCCTCCAGGTCCGGAGGAAACGAAAACGTTCTTGTTCATATACACACGCGCGGCCGATAATAAAAACAGGAGTGAAACGAGTATGCTCATAGCGACAGACAGATTAGTTAGCTCCGATTATTAATGATTCCGTTTAACCCACCTCATAACCCGAAAGGGGCCCGTCCCCTCTCCTGGGGCCCGAGCGAAACCCAAACCCCTTCGGGCTAGCGAGGCGCGTATTATCATATTTGTTATGTACGATGCGCTATATCTAATTTGAGACTCTCTAATTGCTTTTATAATACGAGCTCCGTTCCACCCCGGAGTCCCTTGAACCTCCACCGCCCCAGCGGCACCCATTCAACCTCCGCGGTCGTATCCTCGACCTCCACACATCGGCAGCCTCCACTCGCCCCGGATCCGCGATAAATTTCATCGGCTCGTTGGATCACGATTCGCGCACTCGGTGCCCACGGGACTCCCCTTCCTTTCGGCGAGTATGAATAATTAATGAATTTATAGGTGCGACCCTAATTTATCGGTTGCAGTCCACTTTGGCCGCTCCGGTTGTCTTCGGTCGGTCTCCGGCCGATTTTCGCGTCTTCCTCGTTGAGCGAGTCGTTCTCAAGAGGGGAACCCTCATTTTCCGGATTTCAATAGAAGAAGGAATTATTGGATAGAAAATTTCAAGGAAATTGTAATATTTGTTTCCGCGCGTGTTTTGCGCCATGGGATGCGATATGGGACTGCCGATCGGCCGCATCCAGGTTGAGAAGGAGAACCAGGGAGCAGGAAAAAGTCCACTCCTTCTTTGCCTCCGGTTCGTCCTTCTCCGTGCTCCTTGGACTGGTTCGGATGGTGATCTATCGGGGAAAAGAAACCCAGCCGAGCAGGGTCTGCGGGATGATAATGACGATGCTCCGCGAATCGCGTTTTACTTCGCTCTCGGTTACCGTATAGTGCTCCGCTTGCTTTGTTGTAGGTATTCCATCGGTCGCGGATGCATGCGGAATGCAGCAGAAACGCGTCACGTGTTTTCGAATATGCAAGAAGTTTACAGTCGCCCAGAGTGCGGTGTAAACGCCGCCCTAAGGAGGTACTCCCGGGAGCTGTATCTACGCTTGCGTGTAGGGATGGTTTCGGCCAGAAGAGGCGCTTTTTGTAAACGCATTCTCGGAGATAAAAGATCAAGAATATGATGAAAAAGGGTATTCAAGTAAATTTTTAACATTTCTGACGAATTTTCTAATTCTGGGGAGCAAGATCGCCTTGAAAATCCTTCAACCCGCGGACGCGGGCATTGAAGTCTCCGGCAGTGCAGGGCACGCGGGGGCTCCGACATCCGCCATTGCGTCACGTTGCACGCACGTACCATAATTTTTGTTGTCAATATATCTAGGATTAACCCTACCGACGATATCTGCGAACCTTTTCTCGGCTATTTAGCCCGAAAGATTGCTCGTTTCAATGCAGAACCACGCATAGGCAAAGGTAACGACGTCTCCAACAAATCAGGGAATGCGGGGACTCGGAAGTTCGCCATTAAATCGCGTTATACACTTGCCGTGCGACGGTTCCCTATTTTTGCTATCGGTAGGTGCTAGGGTTAACTCTACCGGCGTTATCTACGCATTTTTCCTCGACTATCAGCCGGAAACGCTGTGCATGTCAATGAGAATTGCGCGCGGCCCTAATGTTATATCACCGTATTGTTCGGCCCCGCCCGTTATATTTGCCTTTCCCGTGTGCGTCCATGTTGGATGAACGGCTCGTGAAGGGACTCGGACCCAAACGAAGGTCCTAACGAACTCACATGTCAAATTGAAATCGATGGAATCAGGGACCTCCTACCGAATCGAATCCCAACGCGAGATAATCGACTCGGGCTACTCGTTTAACGATACTGTCGATTAATTAGAGCAGGGCTCCGACAGGGGGGAAGGATCGCTCGGCAGGGGAGTCCGCCACCTTCGAGGGTCCGAAATACCGACAAGGGCCATTTGGGTTGATGAACGATTCTATCCTCCTCGGGTGGAAATTTGCGCGTTACGGCTGAACCGGACGCAGTTGCGACGTCCATTTAATGTTGTTCCCCCATTTAAGAATTTCCTACTCGTCTGGAATTTTTTTGCTCCCCAGAGAGTTTTAGTTTATGTTATAAGAGAGAAAATCGGAAGAGGAGTAAATGGTACATCCTCCGGGAGATCTAACGACTTCCTCCAAGTTTACCATGGTGTTCCAAGTCGAGTAAATCAGACGAACGAGGATCCGAGAAATGGTCCCGGCGTGGCGTTCGTACATTCGTTCATATCCAGTTGGGTTTTTGCGGCAACGCCTTCCCGCGATCTTTCCACCCCTCGAGCTGCGGAGCCGCGACGGAACTTCTTATGCGCCATTTTGTACCATTTTCTGAAGCGTGTGAGAGGCGCATCGGTTCCAGTGTAAGTGCCCCCTTTTTGTTCCGTTCTTGTTCTCGCGAGAGATGAGCTCGTTAGGGAACGAGCAAGGGCTAGGGCTTAAATGAGGAGGAAGCGGTTAGGGGATGCACCAGCCGGGGGGAAGAAGGGTTTTAACCGGCACACGTATTGATTGATCTACCGTTAAGCGGCCCGGCGACGACCACACGGGGGGACCAGGGAGACCAAGGGGACCAGAGGGACCGAAGGAACCGAAGGAACCAGGGGCAAGGGCGAACCGTATAAAGACGATTAACGGAATTTCTTCTTGAAGATGCTTACGCCTTGGCTCCGCCCTTCGGCTCGAGTGATGGACCGCGAATCATAATTCTGGGCACCGCTGACCCCTTCGATCCAGCACTCCTTGCCCCGGGTCCACCCCTTTTGACCCCAACGTTCAAGACCATCATTTTTCTCATCGCGAGGATTCGAAGGGAACATTTTACAACCACTTTTCCTCGAAGAATATGAAACGTTTCAAACTAGTTCCCCTCCGCGTCACCTCCCTTTAACGCACTCCCAAGGGGTGATCGATATCTCGCGCCACGTCGTCGATCGAATTCTTCGACTCTACGTATCGGCGAGTCCCTGCTACAGCGATCGACGCGTTGGCCCTTCCTGGTGACAAATAGCATTCCCCGGAACGACCTATACGAGGCAGCCCCCCTCACTAAATGGTATCGCCCCCGATTCCCCCCAATCCTCTCGGCGGAGTAATACACTTAAGGGGGCTCGGCGGATCCCCCCCACTCGGTACACCTTGCTAGTTTTACGAGCAATAATTATCGATGCGCAACTTTTTCTCCGCTCGGTGCCAGAGATTGAGATACGCCGGCACCTCCGGCCGATAACGAGCGTCGATAGGGGGACGTTTAACTCGCGTGGTATCGCTAGGAAATTACTGCGGTGGTCGGGCCTCGCGCGCTGCAGCGGCCAGCTACGGCTCCACGCATACGACCTCGCGCGTTGCGACGAGTAGATACGGTGCCTCCTACACCGCCAACCGAACCGAAGCTAGGGGCTACGGTCACTCCTACACAGTCGAGAGTAATCGGCATATACGTGAAGGTCTAGGGGGCATACAGATGTACGGACCTACGGTTGCGAAGGGGAAACGATTTCTACGGTGCCTTCTTCGATGTCCACCGGCCGCAACGGAGATTACGAGCTAAAACACAACAATGGGTCGAAATTCGAGAATACCTGTCCACGACCTCGCGCGCTGCAGTCAGTAGATACCGACTTTCCTACACGGCCGAGTGAACCGAAACTAGTGGATTTGTTAACGCGTACAAGGCAAAGAGGACTTGGAACACATGTATTTACAGGAATTCCTGGTTTACACCGATTTACGATACTACGGCTGAGGAGGGGCAACAATTTCGATGGTTTAGGGAACGATATAATGATCCGAAATTCGAGATTAGGTGCACACGGCCTGCTACAGCTGGTGGATCCTTATTATCATTTTGTGCACAGTCAAATAGAAGGAAGGCAGGGGGTTTTGGTCACTCTTACCCTACTCTGATCGGTACCCTGAGGGATATGAATTCCTTCCCGTCATGCGTTGGCGACACCACGTCTGCAGGGAAGGTGTTCTATCCGTCAGCGTACGACGTGAACGCTTATCGAGTACACCGATATACTATACCGCAAGAGGAGCAATTTCTATGGTGTTTTCTTCGATGTCCACAGTCCGCCGTGATAACTACTATCAGCCGAGGCGCGGAAAGTAGCGCAGGATTCGAGAATGGGGTAGCTGCACGCGACCTCGCGCGCTGCAGCGAGTAGATACGGCGCTCTTTACACTGGCAGGGTGTACGTGTGGGTACGCGCCACCCATCGTAGCCTCGGCATGCCTTCTGTTTGCACACGATCGCGCAGTGCATACGAACTACAATCGCTTGAAGCAGAACTACTTGCACGGTGCCTTCGGTGCCTAGTGCCCGTTACGTTGACTCCGACGTGCCGGCCGCGGCTTGCAATAATAAAGCGAAATTTCCGTGCGGTTAAGCCGCGGCGTAAAACGCGTGCATGTGGGACCGGCCGATGTACGTTTACTTATTACCTTAAT